AGGCACATCTGTGAGCGGTCACAGCTGGCCAGGAGGGTGCAGGTGTTCCCGGCAGAGCATGGCCAGGCAGCAGATGGGAAGGATCTGCAGGCAAAGCGAGGGTTTCCTTGCGATGATATCAGCGTTTGTCCGGGCATGCTGATGTCGGGAAGTCTAGCTCTGAGTGAAAAGGGCATTGTGACAGYTCAGCTGCAGAGTCTGCCTCAGTTTGCCTGGTAAACCAGCACCGGCTGTTTGCAATGCATTGGCACCTTCAGGGCATCATCAGAGCCTGGTGAGGAAGGGTTTGCTGGGCAGCAGAACAGGGTAAATTCAAATCGTGCCTCTTGCTAAGTTGGTGCTTAGGCTTGTCGTGAGGATGATGGTTGCAGTCCCTTTTGGGTTTGTTTTGTTCAGGTAATGACACTRTGTCCCTGGCTCTTTTTGCAGCCGTGGCCTGTCAATGCCCCGTCTCTGTGTGGGCTGATTGCTCCCGGACAGAGAAAACCGGGAAGGAGTGGGCAATCATAATTACAGCTCCACAGGGGATCAGGATCAGACTGGAACATGAAATCAGGTTGAACTCCTCTATTGAATTACTGGTGTTGCACATTGCCCCTCTTCAGACTTGGAAAAGAAAAAGGAGGTTATTTTCTACAGTGAGTTGGTTGCAGTGAAACCAAAGGCTTCGGTTTTGGGTTTTTTTTTTATTTATTTTTTTTTTTAAATAATCAGAGCTTGAGGCATATGTGAGTACATCTGTGTCAATTTTGACAGTAGGGAAATTGTTCTCTTGGTACAGTGCCAGGAAAGGCAAAACCAATCCACCTCTGCAGCCAGTGATAGTTCCGGTGCACCAGACTCGAGTGTGAGCTMAGGACTGCACAGCTGTAGGAAGCTGCTGACAATTGTTGCTGTTCTGCTGTTGGAGGCTGATGTGGAAAACCTTGGACAATTCCACTGTATGCCAATAACAGGGCATTACTTCATTTCCCCCGTAGAGAATGTGTGCATTTAATTGTGCAAGTCTTTGGGGGTTTTGCCTATTCTCCATATCCTCTTCTATTTATAGTTYTCTTTATTAGCTCTTGTTTCAGGGTGGCCAATGATACTGTGGCTGTGGGACACTGTGATTTTTAACTCGCCATCCTCATGGCCAAGAGGGGCAAGCAGGTTTTAGGTTCAGCTGGCCTGGCTGGATGGCAGCCCCAGGCACTGCAAGCAGTGGATTCAACAGCTTGGGTTTTCAAAGGCTCTGGGTAGCGTGGGAGTGGGTGGATAAAAGCATTTTAAAGACATAGCCTGCCCAGCACTTCTCCTCCCAAGCRTGTCGTCCAACACAAAGCAGATCAAACTGTGAAGGATTACTGAATCAACTTTAAAAAAATTTCTCTGAGAATGGAAACATGTTGCGAATGTTCTCGCTTCATTGAATTAAGGTTTAGATGAGACCGAGGGGAGGAAGAACAGATTTGACAGCTGCCTACAGAAAAAGGAGATATTTTGAAAAGGTGCTGATTTTTGCATTAGGGACAGGAAGGGTAAATTTGGGAGATGCCTGAAGTGGTGAGTGTGGGAGAGACTAGGGAATGTTGGAGAAAGAATCTGATTTGCAGACTWCAAGCATTAGAAGAATTTTGGGGTTTTTTTTTTCTGAGCTAATCTTTTGATGTAATTAATAATTTGCAGCTGTAATCTTTTTCCTGATGTCAACAAAATGAGATGTTTCAGTCCCCAGAGCAAGGTGTTAGGTAAATTGAGGGAGTACCGCTTACATTTTCAGGTAACTTTTTAAATTGAATTTCTGGTATGAAATTACAGCGCAGTTCAAATAGAGCCTCCCAGCAGTGCCTCCCTTCACCTTCCACTATTCAGCTTCATTTGAAAATAACTAAACCTGTCCTTGTTCAATGGCATAAACCCAGCCTGGTTCTTTTCTCTATCCTCTGTTCCAGTTTGTCCATGTTTGCTCTCTCAGGCTGTGGCTTCAGTCCCCCCTGATCTCTCAGGCACTCAGGGCAGGTTCTAGTCTCACCCCTCTCACAGATCTGCTTCTTGAAAATGGTTTTGAGGAGCATTCATCTTTTTAACGCTGCATGAATGCTTGCACAGGTAGAAGCCACTTGCTTTTATGTACTGCTCTCTAAATTGTGGTGAGCACGCTGTCAGCAGTGCTGATGGGAAAATATTAACAGCTGCAAAGCATCTTTGAGTACATGGCAAATACTTGGACATGCGTTTGGATTGAGTTTCAGAGCTTTTTCTGAAGTTTAGCCATGTAATGTTGCAAAGGCTTGATTATTTTTTATTATTTTTTGTTACTTTTTTCCTGTGCAGTGTGCTGATTTTGGACACTTTTTAGAAAGCTACTTTAAAGATTAATATTTGGTATTTTGAAAGTGGTGTATGTTGATCTACTACATTCTTCTAGTAGATTAAATTCAGTTATTAAGTCATATCTAATTGTTTAATATATATTTAAGCATTGCTGGTTTTTCTTAGCAGTGATTTTTTCCTCCACTTTTTACCTCAGATAGACAACCAAATTATCCCACAAGATGGATTTTCCTTTGTTATCTAAACCAGAGCAGGGATTATGATTGGATTCCACCAAAGCAAAGGCTAACAACACTATATGGCAGAATAATCTTGAATCATACAGAAGTGTATGAGGTAATCTTTAATGTTTTTTTGTAGAGGCTAGACTATTGAAAGTGATTTTGAGCAATTTGTGTTAAAGGAGATGTCTCAGCCTATTGTCCTCATTTCTCATAATTTGGGTTTCTAGTATTTTATAATTGCAAGTTAATGAAAATATTTGAACCATGGAATGCTACAAAAAACCAAGCTGAAAATTAGCCTTTGACCATAAAATTGAACCTTTCCAATATATTGATACGTTAATATTTGTATACAACTTTTTGATCCAACTTATAAGAGTAGATATAGTGTCTCCTTGCACTTTTGCAAAACATGCGCAGAGTTTGGGAATATATGGATGTTTTTGATCGGTTTGGCTGCTCTTGGTCTTGAAATTCCCRAGCAGTGATGCATGAAGTGTGGTAGGTGGTATGTAATTTCACAATGGTAAATGAGGTATAGTATTTAGAACTTAAATTTTTGGTTTAAATTGCCCTTATTAGGATTTTTTGTGTTGGCTTTTTTTATACATTTGGCCACAAACCCAATGTTTAATAAGTTCCATACTTGAGAAGGCTTTATTTTCTCARCCTTCAAAAATCATTTGAGCATTAGTTGATGCATGGGAAGTAATTATGTCACTGAAACAAGACTGGTAGTCTAAAGTATTTGTCTTAATGGAATGCAGAAGTTGAAGTGATACCTCTGAAAAGATTCTCTGAATGTTTCAAATTTTTTTGGTGATTCAGAGAGGTGAACTTTTAAGAATAAAAGTATCTTTCTCTACAAAAATATTTGTCCAGTGTTTCTGTTTAAAATAAATGCCCCTTTGTTTGTTTAGCAGAGTTGACTCAGCTTTGGTTGGTTACTATAGTTCAGCACTGTTCTTGCATTTCCATGTGAATTTCTAGTAATTCCCAGGCTTGGTTCAGGTTTTGGGGATCTTTTTGTATCCCTTTGTTAGCTGCCTGTGGAGCTGCGCTTCTCTTCGTTGAATTTGGAAAAACATCAAGCAAGACTTAAGTCTTGATCTAAAATCCCTTAAATGTCACTCACTGATGAAAAACATCAAATGACTTTTAGTAATGTACAGGCTGCAGAAGGGAGAGATAAAAGACTTTGCTTGTTTTAAATTAGTTATCTGATGGAGGRCTACCATGGCAAGGTAGCACTGATCATATAAGGCAATAACTGCTGAATGACATTTTGGGAAATAAAAAAAAAAATAAATTTAGAATTAAAATGCGCAGCAGTGATGGGGGAACAAGGACAGCCTGTGATGGCATTTCGTCACTGGGACATTACAGCTGGCTGGTGAAGTTGARCTGTTGTTTTGTGTTACTGTAGCTGTGCTGTTGCTGGTCCCTGTTTGTGTGGTCAGCACAGTTGTTCTGTCACCTCTGGTTCCCTGTTTGCCATCTGCTGTGTGAATCTGTCCATTTTTCAGTCTCCTCATGAAAGCTGGAAGCAGTAAGTGTGTGCCTGGAGTTCTTGAGGAGCTCAGTAATCTTCTCTAGCATTTGGATTCGAGGGATGAAAGACTGGGAGGATCAAATAAGTGCCAAGTTTTGGCCTGACCTTGACTTCTTTGTCTAAATTACTTCCTTTATCAGACTTGCTTTCTTTGTTTGATCCTGCTCCCCTGTYCAAGCCCAGCTTCTGACTTCTGCTGCTCTGGTTATATTGATGCAGAATCTCCACTTGTCAGCTGGRTTGTTGCTGTCCCATGAAAATGTTCTCTTAATCAATAAAATTACAAATAAGTTCATAACTTAATTGAGTCTAGTTAGGAAATGAAGTAATTTGKTAGCTTCAGGTAGCCAAAAGCAGCACTGTACTGGAATATAGCCACTTTAGAGACCAGGATTCATGAACTAATATCAAAGTGTATTTTTTGTCTCTGAGGGGATTCACTTAGTTGATCTCCATTTTGATATTGACGGAGTTGGAGAAATAAAAGTAAGGGTGAAAAAGAAATTCAGGTTAGGGTATTGACAAATTTAAAGCCTAGTCTGGAGATCCTGATGAAGCTTTTGATAAAACATGGGTTTGCATGCATTTGAACACTGTGTTGAAGTTGTCAAAAAATCTGGTTGTGATGCCCACTGGAATCTTCATCCCCATTTCTAGGAGTTTCATATTTAATAGTGACCAGAAGGCATTTTTGACTGTTCAAAGTTAAATTTCAGAATGGTGTGGACTACCTGGGTAGATGGAACAACTCAGAGAATGTCCCTTGGAAGCATAATTTTATTGTAGTGTTCTTTGATGGGTTTTAAACTTTTATTTCTAAAGCAGTGTTACTAGCCTGTGAATAATTAGAATTACCTTGAGYTAACCTTTGCTGTATGTTTTATTCTTGTTTCTTTTCTTTTTCCCAGGACAAAATGGCCAAAATGGAGGTCAAGACGTCGCTTTTAGACGACATGATAGGGGTAGGAGATATGGTTCTTTTAGAGCCACTGGATGAAGACTCCTTCATCAATAACCTGAAGAAGCGCTTTGATCACAATGAAGTTTATGTGAGTATATGTTAAAAAATAACATCCTATGGGGGCTGTGCTGTCATTCCTAAGATATGTGCTTATTTATAAGGATACACATAGGCTGAGTGCCTGAACATTATCTATTGTATTAGGGATGGTTTAAACCTCACTTATGCTGGGGTCTTTCCTGTGCTGCATTGTTTGCATTTGATCTTTCCCATCTGGGATATTTTTCCTTTTTCCTCATGGCACGATGTGAATTTTCATAAAGAACAGTTCCAGAACTGCTGCTGACAATAACTTCGATATTCTGTTGTCAGAGGGCACTGTAGTTATAAATAATTCACTCACAGGGAAGGCACTTCCAGGATGTTGGAGCGGGTTGAAATAGAAACACGCTTGGAATATGCTAAGGGTAACTTAAATGCTGCCTGCTATCTTTGATTTGCAAAAAGATTTTAAACTAGATACAGTGAGCTTGGATCTATTTGGAAGTAATCAGTCTTCAGGCATATTAATCCCTGGGTGATGATCAGCAGGAGAGATGTTATGAACTGGCAGTTGAAACACAGGCAGGGAATGAGGAGGCAAATTGTGATTCCAGTTAAGTCTTTCATTTCCTGCTTCATCTCTTTGTTCCACTTTTGCTTAAATGTGCACAGTATTGTATCTGTTACACTGCTTAGGCTGTGTGAACTTCATGATTCGTGGAGACTGCTATTCCAAGGCTGCTGGTGAAAGATAAGTCTTGTAAGAGTAAAAGCCTAAGTATTTAAGCCAAAACATAGCTATGATCTGCAAGCAATTGTGTCTGCAGTTTATTACAATCAAATAGGTTTTCTGTACTTAATTATAATTTAGCCTTTCCCCCCTTCTAATTTTTAGCGTGATTATATTTTTAATTCTTGCTAACCATTTTAACTATCATGGTTCCATTATCCTGGAGAATGGAAAAGAGGAGGTATGGGAGGATCTGCGCTATTTTTGTTTGCTTCTTCTATCCTTTAGTTATAGTCTGTGCTCTGCTGTTCCTTGTCTACCACAACTTTCTTCTCAGTTTTCCTGCTCAACCAAACCTGCTTCCTTTTCTTCAGAGATTAGGTTGGTAACACACAATTGCTCCTAACTGCTATTGTATCATCTCCGCTGATTTGCTCCTTCAGGTTGTACTGGTAGTTTAAATTAAACAGAAAACTAAATTAAGACAAGGGGGGCTCTAGGTGTCCATTAAAACCTTGTTGAAGAAGAAACCAAAGCAATGTATGTTTGTGGAAACATTTCTTCCACAATGGTTAAGAAAAAATAAACTTTTTTTTTCAACTTTCGTTATACCCTTGAGAGTTACATTTGCGAAACTTAAATTTTCCTCATTTGTTGAAATGTGTTCTGTTTCTTGTGGGTGACCCTTGGATGTTGATACAGGCAGGTAGATATCAGTTCTCTTTTCTGCTCTTTCGTCTTGTTTCTAGCAAATCCTTCATATTCAGTGGCTGCTTCTTCTGGGGTTCAGAGGGATTTTTTTTCCTAGTCAGTGGCTTGTATACTTAACATGTGGCACATCAGTTTTAGGGTTAATACTCTATTCCAAATGCCTACAGTACCAGTGGGTGATGCTGAATCATCTCATTCCACTTACCTCAAGGAAATATGAAGGAAAAGAGAAGGAAAGGGACCTATTTTTCCTGGAGATTTAAGAGTAGAGTACCACCCAGCCCAATCTTTGGGTCATATTTGATAGTTTTATTTAAAGCTTTAAGGATACAAACCTGTGAGGGCACCCTGGGCTACGAAGGATTCTTGTGAAAGATTGCTATAAATCATACAGGAGTGGATTTCTCAAGGGGGTTTTGGGTGTTTTTTGGGGTTTTTTTTTTGTGTTTCAGGTTTTTTTTTGTTTGATTTGTTTTTATTTTTGTGAACTACTATGGATTGCATTTAATTGCATATTTTTGCTTAATTCAGACTGGGTGTTTTTTTCTAGAAAGAAATTGGTTTGAATGACAAACGGGTATTCCATTTTTTTCCGCTGTAATGAGCCAGCTGACAATTGTGTTCAAGCACACAGTTCTTTGAGAAGGTGACAGTGAAGTGTGTATTCCCCCCAGTTTCTGATTCTGCTGTGCCTGGCACCGATGTGTGTTGTAATTATCTGTAAGTCCTTTGGTGGGTAATACAAGGTGTCCCTTTTCCCTAGCAATGTAGCTGGGAAAGCCTCTTTGGTAAAGCCTGCTGTGGTAGGATGAGGAATACTGGTTTTAAATTAAAGACAGTAAATTTAGACTAGATAAAAAGAATTACTTTTTTTTTTTTTTATGTTGTGGATGGTGAAACACTGTAACAGGTTGCCTAGAGAGTGGTAGGTGCCCCACTCCTGGAAACATTCCGGGTCAGCATGGAGATGGGCTCTGAGCAACCTGATYTAGCAGGAGATGTCCCTGCTCATTGCAGAAGGGATTGAACYACAGAATTTTAAATATCCTTTCCAACCCAGACTATTCTGTGATTCCATGAAATGTGAGTCAGATTGGGCCATCAGTGAACAATGCCAAACCTCTCCCCTCCCCACAGCCAAAGATGGCAAGATAGCTGGGCTCATTCCACTAGAAGATTTTTGTGTCTTTTCTAAGCTCTTTCACAGTTGTTATGTTTGATGCTGAATATTGATGCTAGAGATCCCAGTGCCAGGTCTGTTTGCCCCTTTGAAATTCTAGATCTTCTCCATAAGAACTCCTCTTGCAAAAGCATTTAGATCTGGGTCCTCTGCTGGTCCTTTTGTACCATCCCAGGCACATTCACTGGAAGCCCTTCAAGAACTCTGGTGAAGTTTCATGCCATGGTGCAAACAGGGCAATGAGCTCCCTCCTAGCAGTTAGGGAACAGACTGTGGCTTGATTACCTGTTGTTCAATTTTACGTGCATTTGGTGGAAAGTTTAATAGATTTGGGTGTTGAGTTACATGCTAGAGTGCAAAGCTGGAGGCTGTGCCTATAAAAATAAGCATGAAGGCTGGTGGAGCTGGACTTAGGCCAGATGTTCTGCTAAAGACCATCAGATTCTGCAGTAATCTCATGCTGAGTGGCTGTGGGGAGCGAAGGGCTTGTGGGGTAACACACATGTGTTAATTGGAAATGGGAATCTTAGAGTTTAGTCATGTCTGGAAATGTCTGAGGTATGTCTGACCAAGAAAAATCTCATTAGAAAGCTGTAATTGTTTATTATATTGTTTTTGCAACTCTTTAACTTTACATTGATGGAATTTGCATCGCTGTTCCACAAAAGTTCTTTTCTGTAACTATTGGTAACAAAAGCCCGTGGGAGTCTTTCGTTAACTTTACAAAGTAAAATGTGGCTCATGGGCAGTGCATTAGCAAGTAGGAAACTATCCCACAATGCTGATYATTTGAAAGTTTCAGGGAGCAGTTTGTTTGGTTAAAATGTGTGACCCACAGACCGCATGGAAAACTTTTAATACATTCATAAAATTCAGTTTGTGTGTGATGGATGAATTTTTGACTTGTTCCGCTGAACTCCCTCTCTTAAAGTTTTGGTGGGTTTTTTTTTTGTTTTTGTTTTTGTTTTTTTTTTTTTTTTTCTCCTAAGTTGGCTGAAATATGCTCGCCCAATCCAGCTCAGCAATTATTTTTCCTTTGTATGTTGGGATGCTGACAAATGGGAGGGGGCATGTCTATATATGCATTTACAGTGATTCATGAGTGGTAGAGATTTTGGATAAAATGTAGTATTTGCATTAGTCTGAAACTTATTTTTATGCTGTGTTTGTTGCTTTGTGAGGCATGTGGAAGTGTCAAGGGAGGTGTGAGGAGTCTGGAGGGSAGTGGAACTGCGTAGGCTTGCAGGAGTCAGCCTTTAGAGGTCAGATATGGCTTTATTCTGCTGCCCTGCACATTTTTCCCYGCAGTTATGTTGTTTCTTGAAGTCTTCCCAAATTTGCAGAGGTCAACATTTTGTTCCTTACAAGAAAATGTTTGTTTGCTTTTTGTTCTTACAACAAAACAGAATCTTTCTCTGATGTCAGCGTTTAATTTGTATTTTCTGGTGCGTGGAGTTTGTGGGCAGCTTTGGGCAGGAGCAGTCTTATGTTACTGAACATTTGTTGTTTTATCACTGAAACATTAAATATTTGGCATTCCAGGATAATAAATCTCTTTTATCTGTTTGAGGTACCATCCTTGTGTCTGCCTTATGCTGGCATGGCTGTTGTGGTGTGCTTGTTTCATAGACTGAGCTGTTTCCTGTTGATCTCTCTTGCTTTAATATTTTAGGGGTRGCTTTTTTGGTTTTGACTTTCCTTTATCCACTGTGCCTGTCTGTATTACTCATTCATCCCTTTTTCAGATATCTTGGATTATTTAGGACTTTACTGGATTGCTGTCAAGCATAGTGGCTTCRTTCCTGCTGCACTCATACTTGCTATTCCAGATGCTACATTTGCTAGAACATTGTAGGGAACAGAATTATGTGGATGAGACCAATTTTCCTGGTCTGCATCAGCCTTGTGTGACCATCCTGTTGCTGCTATGAAGAAGAGAGCCTTGGAATTGGGAAAGATAAATGCAGCTTGCTGGGAAAATGTGTGTGGTAACAGTAACTGAGTGATCAAGTTCAGTTTTATTCTCAAGTTCTTTACCTCCTGATGTCAGCATGATCATGGTCACCTTTCAAATGTCGTTGTTGAGGCCGTGTGGGGTCCTGTGTTGGGTTTTGGTGAGGCTGTTGTCCCCTGTGGGTTTTGTTTTAGCTGTGTGTCTGCTGTCTGGTAGCAGAACTGGGCTTTGCTACTCCTGCAGCACTATGCAGAAGAGTCTTTCCTCCTGCCAGATCTGACCCCGCTCCCTTGTACTTTCCTGTATTTACTTGAGTTTCTCCACAGTCCAGCCTGGGCTGCTGATCTTCCTTTGGGAGTTTGAGGAGTGGCAGGTGTGGTGGCTGAGCAGCTTCTAAAGGCAGAGAGAGCAGGATCAGAGCAGCCATCCATCCGCCTGCGATGGGAGCCCAGGGGACCTGAGTTTCCTCCC